CAGGGCCTGGGCAAAAGACAGACAGAGGTGATTTCCCTCTGCACAGCAACCCTGGACTTCTCTGGGGGTCTCCCATCCTAGTACTAAGCAGGGCCATCCTGACCCGGATAGCCCAGGCTAACCTGATCTCATCAAATCTCAGAAGCTAAGCAGGGTCGGCCCTGGCTAGTATTCGGAAGGGCGACCTCCAAGGAATACCAGGGTCGTGACGCAGAGGAAGGCAATGGTGGTAAATCACCTCTGAGACGTCTCTTCGCCTTTTGTAGCGTTTATAGCACAATACACAGTTTGATATACAGTATGAACCAGGGGTCATTTCCTGCGGGAGCGCACAGGAGCGGAGCTCCGGCAGTAAGGGGCCCAGGGGGCGGGGACATGCAACAAGCCCCGCCCCCTGCTCCCAGCAGCCCTCAGTTGGGCCACGAGGAGCAAGAAGCAACCAGGTAAGTTGCAGAGTGCCCACCCCCGGTCCAAAACAGTCCAGTGGCACCTTTAAGGCCAAGTTTTAGTCAGGTACAAGCTCTCCCTCCTCTGTGAGGGCAGATCTGCGCGTTCCCCCCCCAGCTAGCAATCCAAAACAGTCCAGTGGCACCTTTAGGCCAAGTGGCGCCTGAGTGGTGGGTGTTGCCTTCTGACACACTTCTGGTGATGTCAGGGTGTTTTGTATGTGCAAATGAGTTATGCTAATGAGCTCCTGCACCTCTTTTTCTACGAAATGATCCCTGGTATGAACTGTACGGAAAGAATCCTCCCCACAGTATAGATTAGATTGATTAAAGCACTTTTTGTGTGTATAATGAAAAATATGTTCATTATATGTATATGCCTATCTTGCATAACCCTGTTAATGAGTTAATGAGAAAATTGAATAAAACTGATTTGGGGGGGAAAAACAAAACAAGTCTCGCTTGCCACCTAGTGGTGCACGACACCAAAAGAGCGAAAGCTTCCGGCTGCCAGACAATCTTAGGATCTCCTGATTACACCACACATAAAGCTATATGATAATTAATTAGTTAACTAACCAACCAGGGCCAACGCTGCTTAGATTCCAAGATCTGACACGATCAGGCTATCCTGGGCTATCCAGGTCAGGGTATGAACATAAGAAGCTATCTGATGCCAAATCAGACCATTGGTCCATCCGGGTGAGTATTGTCTATCTCGGGCTGAGGTCCTTCATGTCATCAATTGCCTGGTCCCTTTAACTAGAGATGGCGGGGATTGAACCTACGACCTTATGCATGCTGAGCAGATGCTCTGCCACTGAGCCAAAGCCCCTTCCTCTTGCTTTATACTGAATCAGACGATCGGTCCATCAAGGTCAGCATTGTCTACGCGGACTGGCAGTGGCTCTCCAGGGTCTCAGATCCACTGCCCAGTCTTTTTAACTGGAGATGCCAGGGATTGAACCTGGGAACTTCTGCATGCCAAGCAGAGGCTCTGCAACTGAAACACAGACCCTCTCCGGAAGTCTCCGGGGTCTCAGGCTGAGGTCTTTCCCATCACCTCTTTGTTGTTGTTGTTCAGTTGCACAGTCGAGTCCGACTCTTTGCGACCCCCTTTTAACTGGGGATGCCGGGAATTGAACCTGGGACCTTCTGCATGCCAAGCAGAGGTTCTGCAACTGAACCACAGACCCTCTCCACAGGTCTCCGGGGTCTCAAGCAGAGCTCTGGCACATCACCTACTGCTTGGTCCTTTCAACTGGAGGTGCCGGGGATTGAACCTGGGACCTTCTGCATGCCAAGCAGAGGCTCCACCATGGAGGCACGGCCCCTCCCAAATCACATGCCCAGGCAGATTTTGAAAGAGCATGCAACAGGACATAAAGAAATATTGTGAAGATTACACTTCAGAGAGGGGAAGGGAACTGTATC